TCACGCAGACATGTCAATGCCCTTAGAGAGATGGCCCGGGGGAGGGGGATTTTGTCGGTTTTTTTCCCCGGACACCCCGGTGGTTTTGGGAAAGACAGACGGACGGGACTGCTGGTTGGCCAATTGGGGGAAATACTGTACATGAATGGCAGACGTGGTTTAGTCCCTTTGTGGGAGAGGTGTAAAATTTGGGAGCAGATAGTCACCACAGCTGGTGGATTGAGCAGTTGGGGTGACGAGGGGTTTGCAGATTTTCGAGGTCAGGGGAAAAAGGCAAGACGGAATTAACAGAAAGTCGGGGCACCTTTGTATCGGAACTCTTTGGGGCTGCGGAAGATGGGGACAGAGGCTTATGGGAATCCCCGATGCTGTGATGTCGGTTTTTAAATAAAATCAAATCAGAGAGATGGGATCCCCGAGAATTATAAAAAGCTACAGTCACACACTCCCGGAATATGAGAATTTGGGAGAAAAGATCGGCAGAGCCAACTGAGAAGCAATGAAGTTTTGTCAACCGCATAGGTTGGCACTATAAACCGCATCACTGATGAATATTTGAGAGGGAATCTAAAACACCATGAATTTGTCCCTAGTGCTGTAAAGATAACCCTATCATAATTATAACTCATTTGAGGGTATGCTTTTGGCTTTTAGATTGCTGTCTTTTAAAAATGTTTTTACAAGGGCATATCATCTTTGTAGGGGGCCTTTTGCAGAAATTTTGGTCTCTCCCCCCTGTCCCCGATCATGTACTTTATACCCAAGGATTTCAATTAAATCTATGCCATCTTAGTTTGGTCGGCCCCCCGCCCCCCTTCCCGATACCATGCTTTAAAGAGACAGTGATGGATATTAGTACGGTTTTTTTGGTACAAGAAAAGATCGTTTTGGTTTGAAAATTTGTTTTTTAAAGTTGGAAATGTGAGCCCGATTTTTTTTGTTTTTATTTTTATCCCCCATGGACACAGGCACTAACTATTTATGCTTTTTTGTCTCCTTGGTGCTATTCAGACACCTGTTAATGAATATAGTTCATTAGTAATTGTTTTAGTCACTACAATTGTCTCCTCTCTCTGTCTGTGCTATTCAGACACCTGTTAATGAATATAGTTCATTAGTAATTGTTTTAGTCATTACCATTGTCTCCTCTCTCTGTCTGTGCTATTCAGACACCTGTTAATGAATATAGTTCATTAGTAATTGTTTTAGTCATTACCATTGTCTCCTCTCTCTGTCTGTGCTATTCAGACACCTGTTAATGAATAGAGTTCATTAGTAATTGTTTTAGTCATTACCATTGTCTCCTCTCTCTGTCTGTGCTATTCAGACACCTGTTAATGAATAGAGTTCATTAGTAATTGTTTTAGTCATTACCATTGTCTCCTCTCTCTGTCTGTGCTATTCAGACACCTGTTAATGAATAGAGTAATTTCATTCAGTAATTGTTTTAGTCAGTTAATGAACCATTGTCTCCTCTCTCTGTCTGTGCTATTCAGACACCTGTTAATGAATAGAGTTCATTAGTAATTGTTTTAGTCATTACCATTGTCTCCTCTCTCTGTCTGTGCTATTCAGACACCTGTTAATGAATATAGTTTATTAGTAATTGTTTTAGTCATGTTTTTTTTACTTTCTCTGTCTATGCTATGTAGGCACCAGTCAATTAATGTAGTTTATTAGTAATTATTTTGATCATGACCATTGTCTCTTTTTTGTCTGTGCTATGCAGGCACCAGTTAATGAATATAGTTAATTAGTAATTGTTTTAGTCACTACCATTGTCTCCTCTCTCTGTCTGTGCTATGCAGGCACCAGTTAATGAATATAGTTTATTGGTAATTGTCTCAGTCATGACTAATGTCTCCTCTCCACATAGCTTGGTAATTGTCTCAGTCATGACTAATGTCTCCTCTCCACATAGCAAGCAGTCCTGATTTTATATTAGAAAATACACCCATACTTATTCATTCATTCAATGTCCTGGATGCCAATATATGTGTCACATAAGGCTAGCAGTCTATTTCTCCATTCTATTCTGTCCTATGCAGTCACTTCGATATCGTGGATGGAATCCAGTCCAGCAACTTTGGCTTCTGTTGCCAACATTTTCCTTAGAGTTTCCTCAATCCATCTGTTTCCTATTTCAGTGCCTGTTTGGTGATTCTCTGTTTGTCTCTTCTCAGAATGTCTACAATATCACGCCATCTTCTCTTTCTTTTAACTGTAGATACTATTGGTTGCAACAACCTGCACTACCGCTGGATGTGATAGAAGAGTCATCATCATGTAGCAGGTCCTTTGCAGAAACTCAGTCTCTCGCCAGCTCTCCTGCCTCATGTACTTTCATACTCCAGTAGTCACTTTTATCCTGTGTCCATCTTCGTGTCGGTCGGCCCCTGCCCCTCCTTCCTGGTACCATGCCTTCTGCTATTATTTTTTCCAATCTGTCGTGGCGCTTGATTTAAACAAAATATTTCAGCTTCCGAGACATAATGCTGTTTTTATTAGCCAATCTTCCTTGATGTTCAGATCTTTCATGATGTCAGTATTTCTCCTCTTCTTTGTCCAAGATATTCTGATAATCTTTCTATAGCATTTCAGTTCAAAAGCCCCTATCCTCTTTCTTAAGGACTGGGAGATAGCCCACAACTCACATCCGTATGTAGCCACAGGGAAGATGCATGCTCTAAAAATTCTAATTTTGATCTCCTTGCTGGCGCCTAATTAACCATAAACTTTTAATGCTGTTTGATAATAGAAGAGTATTGATCATAAAGACATATGTGATGCATTCCAGGCTTTTGACAGCTCAGATGAGGTGACGAAGACAGCAACCGCTGAGGATCTGATCCGATGTGCTAAACCAATCACAACAGCCACAGCCAAGGCTGTAGCAGCCGGCAACTCCTGTAGACAGGAGGATATCATTGGTGCTGCCAACATGGGACGCAAGGCCATCTTTGATTTAATGAGTGTCGTCAAGGTAAGACTGATACATACAGACAGTAACCTTTTGCTCCTCCTCTTCTTCTTTTTCTCCTCCTCCTCCTCCTCAGCCTTCTCTGCCTACACCTCTTCTTCTTCTTCTTCTCCTCCTCCTCCTTCTCTGCCTACACCTCTTCTTCTTGTTCTTTTTCTTCTCCTCCTCCTCCTCAGCCTTCTCTGCCTACACTTTTCTCTTGCTTTTCTTCTTCTCCTCCTCCTCAGCCTCCTCCTACTCCTTCTTCTTCCTCTTGTTTTTCTTTTTCAAAGTTTGACTTTAAAAGTACGGTTGGCTTTTTGTGTTGTGGTTTACAGCTTTGTGCCATTGTGCCTCCCAGCCAACACATTTGATTTTAGCAAACCTTTTATCAGTCAAACTTTTACAACATATGTGTAAAGAGGTCAGTGGGTCTGTTATTCCCCCCCCCCCCCAAACCCACACTGGGTCAGTAGCCATATAATCATTTAAACTTACTAGAGTTTCAGAATCCTGGTCTTTCATCATCTGGGACATTTAATGAAAAGTGTCTTGGGATGTAAGTTTGTGGTCCTCTACTTGATGGAAATCATTTTTGTGTGTGGAATTGTTACGTTATGTTACGTTATGTAATGTTACATAGTAACATAGTTATAGAGGTGAGTAAGAAGGGTTGGCATGGGAGTAGCTACCTCATTCCATAAAAGGCTACAAAATCTAACCAGCAATAAACAATTGCACAGAGAGCTTAGCTTGAGATTGTGGTTCCCTATGCTCCATTATGAGACAAATGGAAACAGGACAGGATCAGCGAGAAGAGAAATTGAATATTTTTATTAACTGTTATCATATTTCAGGGAGCAGCAGCGACGGCAGAGACATCAGAAATCAAACAAAGGGCTATGAATGCTGGAAGGACAACAGCAATGTCTTACAAAGAGCTCTTGCAGCAAGTCTTGCAGGTATGTAGCTGTTTGTTGCTTGCAAGGTAATTCACAGCATTGTTGAGTGTACAATAGAGTTAAGGTCATTACAATATTATAAGGAAACTTTCTCTGCAGGTATGTTGGTGTCTTCAGGTATGTCAGTGTCTTCAGGTGTGTGGGTATCTGTAGCTTTCAACTTATGATAAAAGATAGTTGTGTATCCTTTACGAGATGTTGTAGAACCAACCCCAACATTTTGTGTGTGTGTGTGTGATGGGGGGGGGGGGGGGGGAACTGTTTGAGATTTCACTAAGCAAATTTACATTTAAAGCTTTGCCATTGCTTTTTGAACTGTCGGAGCTTTATCCTGTTGTCAAATTGAACATAAAGCAATCTGCTGCCAAATCACCTGCAGCTACAATTATAATTAAACCTGATATTTTGAAATTGTGAAGTATCTTATCAAGGCCTAAACCACAGATACTGGCAATGTAATGTATCATAAGATGAATCTTGAACAAACAACAACTGTGTCTTATGATGAACTTTTACTGTAGGTATATAGATGAATGTTGAACAAACAACAACTGTGTCTTATGATGAACTTTTACTGTAGGTATATAGATGAATGTTGAACAAACAACAACTGTGTCTTATGATGAACTTTTACTGTAGGTATATAGATGAATGTTGAACAAACAACAACTGTGTCTTATGATGAACTTTTACTGTAGGTATATAGATGAATGTTGAACAAACAACAACTGTGTCTTATGATGAACTTTTACTGTAGGTATATAGATGAATGTTGAACAAACAACAACTGTGTCTTATGATGAACTTTAAACTGTAGGTATATATGATCCAATGTTGAACAAACAACAACTGTGTCTTATGATGAACTTTTACTGTAGGTATATAGATGAATGTTGAACAAACTTGTAAACTGTGTTTGTGATGAACTTTTACTGTAGGTATATAGATGAATCTTGTACAAAAATTACAACTGTGTCTTGTGATGAACTTTTACTGTAGGTATATAGATGAATGTTGAACAAACAACAACTGTGTCTTGTGATGAACTTTTACTGTAGGTATATAGATGAATGTTGTACAAACAACAACTGTGTCTTATGATGAACTTTTACTGTAGGTATATAGATGAATGTTGAACAAACAACAACTGTGTCTTATGATGAACTTTTACTGTAGGTATCTTTCTTTTGTCAAAATCTGCTTGTGCCGCTAGGCGCCGCAGTCTATCAGATGATCGGCAACCGAGCCAGGGCGCGCTCAGTCACTTCATATGCCGTGATGTTATGAAGTCTCAAGTTGTCCGTGACTCCTTCACTTGTCTTCTTCTTGGTCTTCCCCTGCCTCTTGGTGTTTCGATTTTCATGTTGTATGCTCTTGATGCTGGCATTGTTGGTTCCATCCTCATTAGGTGACCAAACCATTTCATTCTTTGCTTCTCAATAAATTTAACGATGGGTATGGTTCCAATAGTTCTTGTACAAACAACAACTGTGTCTTATGATGAACTTTTACTGTTGGTATATAGATGAATATTGCTTGAAAACTTGTACAGACTTTTTTGGTTTTTCCATCAAAGTCGTCAAGAAAAACATTCAATCTATTTTCAAAAATTACAAATGAAGTAAACCACTTTATCATTATTTTGTTTGTCATGTGAAGAATGTCACTTGTCATTTGAAGAATGTCACTTGTCATTTGAAGAATGTCACTTGTCATTTGAAGAATGTCACTTGTCATTTGAAGAATGCCACTTGTCATTTGAAGAATGTCACTTGTCATTTGAAGAATGTCACTTGTCATTTGAAGAATGTCACTTTCATCACGACACGTCAGAAAGCCACTCAGTCTCCTACAGACTTATGTGTGTGTGTGTGTGTCTCTGTGTTTGTCTGCATGTTTGCCTGTGTATGTTTGTGTGTGTGTGTGTCTCTGTGTTTGTCTGCATGTTTGATGTGACTGTGTGTGTGTGTGTCTCTCTGTGTTTGTCTGCATGTTTGATGTGACTGTGTGTGTGTGTGTCTGTGTGTGTTCCCATATGTGTTTGTCTGCATGTTTGCCTGTGTATGTTTGTGTGTGTGTCTCTGTGTTTGTCTGCATGTTTGATGTGACTGTGTGTGTGTGTCTGTGTGTGTTCCCATATGTGTTTGTCTGTGTTTGTCTGTGTATGTTTGTGTGTGTTTGTCTGCCTGCATGTCTATGCGGCTGTATGTATGTGTCGGTGTGTGGTTGTATGCATGTGTGTATGTATGTATTATGTATGTATGTATGCATGTTTGTCTGTGTAAGTGAGTTTGTGAGCGTGGGTGTGTGTATGTGGGTGTGTGTATGCATGCATTTTAGTTTTTTACAGTCCATGCTTTTGTGTTCTTTTATAACATACACAATATGCATATCATCATATGATCATAACATGTTTTATTAGTAAAATACAACTGCTATGCGAAAGATGGGTGATTGAAAGGGCCGAATGTAAGGCAGGCCTCAGTGCCAAATTTGTGACCCTTTGAAAAATAAAGTTTGTTCCATTAACCATACCTTCCATTACAGTTCTCTCCAAAGCTGGGCCTGCCATATTTTTATCTTCTGAAATGAGGATATTTATCCTAACAGTAAATTCCATTTAAATTGTGATCCATGCGTATTCTTCTGATGACCTGATATGGTGGGAGTAACAAAAAAGAACTGCCCTATCTTCACAATTTCAGTGTACATTTCACTACTCCTACAGTTTCCAATATGGTCACATACTGTTAATTTTGTCTTTAATTGTAAAATTGCAGACAAATCTACGAATGTCAAAAAAAAATGTTGCAGGAACTCACATTTACGTGTGAAGTGATGATGTGTCCACAAAAATAAGGACTTATGTCAACCCTGTTGAAATGGTCATTATGATTAAAATATTTCATTGGACAATAAACAATACTGTTATCACTTTCCTTGTTTCTAAACCCATCAGGTTGTACTAAAACCCACTCAGGAAGGGAGACAAACTCTGGCCCTCATTTCTCGCAAGGTGGCCAATGCAGTTACAGAACTTGTCCAGTCAGCAGAAGCCATTAAAGGTAAGATATTTGTTGCAAATGTAACTGTTTTATATATGTACACACATGACGAGTGGAGTGTGTTAGATCATTGCTATGAAGAATGCTTTTTTCCCCAGTATAATTATATGCTGATCTAATTTTCCATTTTGTTTAATTCATCTCTACATTTCATAAAGATGAGACATTACCATGAACAGAGCTGAGACGTTAGCTTGATGACATTTTTTAGGTATCAGTACCCACACACGACTGCCGAGTGCACCAGAGTATTACTTGATGAAGTATTTATAGGTGCTCATACATAACTTATTTACAGATTAAATGGGTTATTTAGGATTTAACCTTGGTGGATTGGTATCCAGAATATGATTTGCAGCCATGTCATACTTTTGTGTAGCTGTCTGTGGGAGAAAACAGGCAGTCAGTGTGCTGCTATTTTATTATTAATTTACTACAAACCTCACTGGTAACATGACTCACTTTGTCTACTGTTAAACTGCATTATGTTTTTTGTCCCTTGTTTTTCTTCTATTGCATTGTTTTTTATGATTCCAGTTACAGTGTTTTAGCACCAGTAGGTGTTAATAATGAATGGCATTTGAGCTTCTTAAAGGAGTTAGAAAATTGAACAAACTTATCACATATGGCTATATTTAAAAATTATTTGTAAGCGTCCAATTTTGGTACATACACATTAAGATCGTTTGCTGTTGCTGTAGACTTCACATTGCTGAGATTTTCCTTGTCTCCTTCTGTGGGAGAGATGGAGCACTTGTAGACACATCCATGTGCAATTAAAGTAAAAGTAAAGGACTTATTTCACGCCAGTGGTTAATCTGGCATGTGTTACAGCGTAAAGGCCGAGACCAGAATTATATTGTTAGACTAAATGGCACCTGACGGGTGATGTGGTCAACATCGTGCCGGCTGCCTTTACTTCCCAGGACATCACCTGATGCCCATTCTAGGCTGGCTTGACCTGGGAGCCAAATACAGCTTTGAAAGAAACAATCTGCCTCAATGCCGATTTGAACCTTAGACCTTCAGACAAGTATCTACACTCTACTATAGCTTTCATTGGATGAAAGATGCTAAAATGTTAGACAAAAGAGCACTTGATGATTGCTGTCAGCATAAAACTGGTCACCTTTTCCTCCCTGGACATTCACTGGTACCCATTGTATGCTGGGCTGGCATTATTTACCTACAATAGTAGTTGTTTAGATCTAGAGGGGTTAAAATAGCTACACTAAGGTACTAAAAGGGTTAAAATAAGGTTAACACACATCACCCACCAAGTACCGATTGGTCTATAAAATAGAGGTCCTGCCCTATATGCACTATACACATGAAGGCATTAAACAGAGTTTTTTTTTTTTTTTTTTTTTTTTTTTTTTTTTACTTTTTAACACAATTCATTAAAACAGTCACTTAAAGAAGAAAGGTTTAGAAAAGGCATTTGATGGAAGGAGCAACCAGTCCACACATGATGAGTTTATCGGGACTGAATGAGTTAAGATCTGTTATAACAGATTAGCCTTGATGCAGATTTGAAAAGTTATTTTTAGCCAGACCAGAATTAAGTACATGTTTTCTATGAGCAGATGCCTTACCTACCCTCTGTATGTGTCTGGTTCATTCCCTGTCAGTAACATTTGTTTCCCCACTCATTTGTTTTTGTCATGTGAGATTTTCTCCTGGTAGTGGCCCTGATTGCAGCTGGATGCTAACCAGTGCATTTGAAGGTCATAGTTTAAATCAGCATGGTGTTTGATTTTTTTTTCATACATCTCTTTGACTCCAAGGTCGACCCAGCCTTGATTGGGTACCAGGGTAAATCCTGGGAGATAAAGACGACCGGTGTTAAGCCAGTTGGTCTCTAAAAATATTTGTCTAGCCTCATTTGCACGATATGCTACAGCGTGTAAAGGGACCTTTACATTGTAAGCTTTTCCCTTAGTACTGGCAATGGTTGGAGGAAATGTGGAATCTTGTTCAGTTTTTGTGAAAATTCAGATGGTTGAAGTCAAGCCTGCTAGTTGTGTTATCACTGCCTTCAAGTCATGAAACAGATGGGTTTTTCATAGTCATTATTTTGCGCAAAAATGTTTTTTTTTTAATCATGAGGGAAGGTAATCAAGCAAATGGAGTCAAGAAATAGCTGTTTTCTTTCCCTGTAACCAAGAAAACTTGAATTTTGTTTACACCACTACAGAGAGAAAAGTGATATCATACACATGACATCACAGTTAACCATTTTTAAAATAAAATTTCACTACAAAAAATATCACAAAAATTATTGTTGTTGTAAATATAATTATACCCACAGTATCTACACACTATGCACTGGCGACAAGTACTGTTATCCATCCTCATATGGGATGAATTTTCGCTATTTTGAAGCCCTGCCTTGGCTGTTGCCGAGGGCCCTAATATAACCTATTGGTTGAATGGAGGTTTCTAGGACCTCTCCACGGGTGATCCTCATCTGAATGGTGGCACTTTGTGTCACTGGGTGTTTATCGCTTGTGTGATGTTCTGGTGGGTTACAATATCAGTCAGTACTTTCCCCGAGAAGCCTATTTAATGGTGTTGGGTTCTGTTTGTGAATCACCGTGTTTAGGTGGTCCGGATATGAATATATTTACTAACAGTAGTATTAAGGAAGATTTTCTGGTAAACAAAATGACTTTGTAAACATTTCAACTTGCATTTAGCCTTAATGATATCATTCTGACGAGGTCACAGAATGAATCACCGGACACATGTTTTTAAGATTTGTCAGCAATTCCCACAGGTTCCTGCCTTCATTAGAATAATCTCTGGGGTGAAAGAGTTGAGTCATTGGTTTCGTGCTGCCTAGGAAATGTCAGTAATGACCGAGCTTGTTTGCCAGCGTTAGTTTACAAGTGAAGACTTATACAGTTTTGTTCCTAGATATAGCTATAGAAAATAGTGCACCAGATGTGAATTGTGGGTTTGGTTGTTCTAGAACCGAAAAAGGAGGACTGTTTTTGTAACCATAACTGAAAATATTGGTTCAGGACATAGTGATGGGTAATACTCTACAGATCTCAGCTCTGTGTCATCATCATCATTGTCACCATCACTTTCTACATCTGCCATCAAGTGTTGTGGGAAGGAACAGTTTGTGATCCATCGCCTGATGGGCAGGCAGCATTGACTATTGTCATTCTGTGTTCATGTAGAAGGGCTTTAATGACAGCAGTCCATCTTCTCCTAGGGTGGCCTCTTGCTTTCACTTCACATCTTTTCATGTATAGCGCCTGCGTTGGTAGTTGTTCTGGCTGCATTCTTACTATATGACCAAACCATTTATACTGTAGGTGTAAACTGTTTTTTGTGTAAAGTATGTACAGAATTGAATTACAGACCATGTGTAACATTAATACATAAATTAGGGGGATTTTTATACTAGATCTGAAGTTACTGGACATAGTTTTTTAATGACTTGAACATTGAAAAGATGTTGATTGTTTCAGATACAAGTTATGGCCTTAGTTTTTAAATCACAACAGCATTCATGTTTGTCAGCCTATGAAACCATCATTGGTTCATCTGTGTGAATATATGTCTTTGAAATTCATCTTTTATTTTGTGTTTCAGATCAGATCAATGTGTGTTTATTTTTTGTTAAGAAAGCAAGTAAGTTGCTTCCAAACAGAAACACTCCCCCATACTCTCAATATTTTGGGGAAATTCAGGTCACATCATCTCTTGTTTTTGTGTATTGTTTTCTCTTCATTTTGATAAAGTGTTGCTTAAGCATCAAGTATGTCACTTTATTTTTTAATAGCAAGAAAATTAATAATTTTTAAAATTGGAAATGGTGTCATTCTTCTTCATGTTCACTGGCTGTAAACTCGGGTGGAGTCTTCTGGTTGTTCATCAACCTCTGGACTGTAGTCTTATTCCAGAACCTGAGTGTTGCAGACTGTTGGTTCCTTGCCTCTCAGGCAGATGCACTGTGACATCAAAGGAAGCCCCTCCAATTATTCTACTCTGAAAACATACTGGTATGTGAAAAAGTGGGTATATTCTTGTTTTCCCAAAAGTGGGACCCTGGAACACATACACATGGAGAAAAGGGAGTTGATCAGAGTGAAGCATATGTTTAACAGTGTACCGAGATCATCATATTTTTGACATTGTAAATATATATTATTGGCACATAGAATTCGGACTGATCTGTGCAAATATGAGCAAGCAACTTAAGCTCAGTTTTTGCATTGTTATCACTGTGATGTACCAATGTCCCCAAGAATGAGATGATCCTGTGTATAAGACGCACCTTGATTTTGGGACCAGAAGTTTTGAAGAAAAAAAGAAATAATGTAATTGCTTAAAGTTTTGAACTCCACATTTTATTGATCAAAGTATCCAGAAAACTCCTCGTCACTGTTAAAACTCTCATCCACATAACAGCTCTTTAACTTGTCCTCATCTGTGTCTGGTGACGAGTCACTGTTAAAACTCCGTCCACATGACAGCTCTTTAACTTGTCCTCATCTGTGTCTGGTGACGAGTCAATGTTAAAACTCCATCCACATGGCAGCGCTTTAACTTGTCCTCATCTGTGTCTGGTGACGAGTCACTGTTAAAACTCTCATCCACATAACAGCTCTTTAACTTGTCCTCATCTGTGTCTGGTGACGAGTCACTGTTAAAACTCCATCCACATAACAGCTCTTTAACTTGTCCTCATCTGTGTCTGGTGACGAGTCACTGTTAAAACTCCATCCACATAACAGCTCTTTAACTTGTCCTCATCTGTATCTGGTGACGAGTCACTGTTAAAACTCTCATCTACATAACAGCTCTTTAACTTGTCCTCATCTGTGTCTGGTGACGAGTCACTGTTAAAACTCCATCCACATGACAGCGCTTTAACTTGTCCTCATCTGTGTCTGGTGACGAGTCACTGTTAAAACTCTCATCTACATAACAGCTCTTTAACTTGTCCTCATCTGTGTCTGGTGACGAGTCACTGTTAAAAC